GTTTGACCTTGAAATAAAGGTCAAAGGTCAAATCCAAGGGCATATTTGAAATCTACACATATGACTTTTGGAAAGCCGTCTGTAGAAATTTTTCCCATAATTCCTTCCGTAGGGTAGATAATTGGCATTGAATTTTCAAAAATTTTGACAAGGGTGCATTTCAACGAGTGTCACGCCCAGGTCAATGCACCGACTGAGACAAAAAAACTTGGGGGTTCAAGTTGAGGTTATATGTGACCTAAATCCAAGAGATGGGGACAGGGGTCCTTGCGGTCTAGGAGGAGAAGCGGTAACGGTGACTTGTATCCGGCGCCAGTACGCGGAGCCGGCGGAGCTTACGGAGCCGGCGGAGCCAACGGAGCCGGCGGAGCCGCAGGAGCCGGACGAGACGGGTCGGGACTAAAACCATGAGTACCGCCAGCGTACACGCTGGTGGTACTAAATATTGATGTACTTAAGTAGTTACCATTTATTATAGTTACGTAACTTCTTTATGTAGTTTTAATGAACTTTCAAGCCTGATAGTGGTTCTGGTATTAAACCTTTTCTATCAACTGTTGCATTTGTTCCTACTAATGTGTCTGCTGTGACACCCCCATCTCCACCTCCACCACTGATAATATTCTTACCTCTTCTTTCAACTGCTGCATTTGTTCCTACTAAGCATTGAGGGTTCAGTGCTTTCAGACTTTCTGTTTCTAACATCCAGCACCTTAAGTTTTCAGTAAGTGCTCGTGTCTTACAGAACACTATACCCCTGGAGTCTGGTTTCTCTTCATATGCTTTCCGGAGCATACCCTCAAGTTCCGCAAGCTTGGGATTTTGGTAGGCATCACTTACAGCAATGGCATCGAGTTGTGATTCTTTTTCTGCAAAAGCAAGAAAGCAAACTTTTTATTGACACTAGTTGTTCAGTTCTACTCCCCAACATTTGTAAATTAAATAAATTGACAGTAGGCATTAGAATAAAAAATATGCATGTATATTACTTAATTAGATGATAGGCAAGAGCTATATAATTTTATTCTTTTAAAATTAAAGATTAATTAAGAAGTTAGGGTAGAGGCTGGGTCTTTGTCTTAAAACTGACAAAATAGTTTTTTTTTTTTTTTTAATTTTCAAATAGTTCAAATAATAGTCTAACTAATGGGCAAATTAATTTTTAGGGAAATTTATATTTTTTAGAATTTTCAAAAATTCACAACTGCATTGGAGTGTTTGATACAGTTCACGTTATGCCATGAGTTGACACAAGATGTTTACAGTGCACATCTCAGATTTTTTTCTCATAAATGCTGCTACCCATTACTCTGGATTGTGCATGAGGAACAACACAAGTAATTATACATAATGATCAATCCGTCTATGACAGCATGCTTTTAACTTAAGTCTGTCGTTTAGTTACTTTTCGGTTACTTTTCAAATATCATCTGTTGGTACTTGAAAGGGTATACCCTTGTGCCTATATCTTTGTTCAACTACCTTGAAATAATCGCTGAAGCCAGTTATCAATCTCTACATTTCTACGAGTAGATCTCTTTGAATTCTCATCTCTGATGTACTCAAGAGCATCTTTTGTTCTGCAGTATTCATTTATCAAAAGTGCCTGGTGATATGTCTGAAAAATAAAAGTTATTCATTAATGAACAGTTTTAAAAACCTAAAAGTACTATACTGATAACACAATGTAGCAGTTGTTGACTGCTGGCAAATTGCATTTTGTTAAAACCAATTTTATCATAACCAAAAATAGCTTCATTTCTAATTATTACTAAATCATGTTTTTGCTGTTTACTCATATGTACCACAACCCAGTATATTCAATATTTTCAAACTATAAGTTCAACTGGTAGTGTTCAATATGGGATTTTACCTGCATTTCATTTACAAAAGAGCATGTATCAGTTGCTTGTCAATTCACACAAGCATTCTTAACAGTTAACAATTATAAGTACCAAAAGATTTGTCAAGCAGGATTTGTAATTCCACCGTATTTTCTGATCATCAATAACTGCAAATTTTCCCTTCAGTGAATGGACCCACTGAGTATAGGGGCCTTCTCCTTTATCAGCAGGGGCATTTAAATCTGCTGCACTTATCTCTTGTAGTTGATGCTGACCTAAAAAAGTTGATGCTGATTTTTAAATAATAAAAATATGTCATTAACATCATACACAACATTTTAAGCACATACTGTTTTACTGGCATTTTCTTTGCAATGTACTGCCTATGACCTTTAATATACATGGCCTTAAAATATATTGAGCTATAAAGCAACTTACCATGCAGATACTTAATTTTATTTTCAATTTTATTGAGCTATAAAGCAACTTACCATGCAGATACTTAATTTTATTTTCAATTTTTTCCATTATTCTAGATATGATATCTTTGAATGGATCCATGGCTCTTTCACCAACAGGAACAATATCTGTGACAATTGTATAGAAATGAACATCAATAAGATCAACAAATGAATTTCATTAGTTAACTTGCTTGCATGAACCAAGTTTTATAATTTTGAAAATTTTGACTCTAAACATAAAACATTACACATAAAGTTATGACTTGAAGAAAGATGATTTCCGTCACCTGACTTGGGTACATTCACGTACTGCAGCATTTCATTCTCATGTTGTACAACTGTAGACAACACCTCTGTATCTAAGTTAGCACACAATCGCAGGATGTGGTCTTTTGCAGATTCAATATTTTTAGCCTTCCCAACACCTAAAGAAGCTGTAAGTCCAACAACCTAGAAAGTCACAATATAATTTCGATTATATTGCATTGTATTGCATTACAGCATACTCAACATGCATATACACTATAGAATTTACAACTTAGAGTTGCGATTTGTTCAATAGAAACTGGATATATAATTCATCTTCTCTAGCTATAACATATTCTGTCAAGAGACTGAAAACCTCATGATTGTTTATCCTCATGTACCTTTTGGAAAGACTGGTTGACAAAAACAAAAAAGTTCTTGACCAAAGTTTACCTGTGGCAACTTTTTCTGAATTGAAGGATGGCTGTCAACATCTGGGGGAACTAGTTTCTGGTCAATGTAGAAGGCCATAATACCATTGTATGGATGACCTTTCTTGGTATGGTGACATTCATCGAATATCATGAGAGAAAAATCATGAACCTTTAATACATTATCTCTCAACTCATCAAGCAGAATCTGTGCTGTTAAAACAATAACATCATTCTTTGGCAGAAGCTCACTCAAGGGTACTTTTGTATCTACATTTCCACTCAAACCATAGGTGCGGTAGCCAGTGAGGTTTTTCTTGAACACTGCTAACTGCTGTTCCATAAGTTCCACTTGGTTGACAAGAAATACAACTTTTCTCCGTCCTCTGTCTGCTTTATCTAGATGTTCCTGTAATTTGAAGAAAAAAAATATAAAGAACATCAATAACATTCATGATTCAAGAGCTTTATGTGAAACATGATTAGGCCACCACAAGCTTCCAAAGGTCAGGATCAAGGGCCTAGGTAAAATTGTCCCCAACTGAATCCGTGCCACAAAAAGTTTTAATACGGTCCATGTCTTTCACCTATGATGGTTTCAGTATTCACAGTTAAATTAAAAAATGAAGAAATGTTTTTTGTATCGCCTTCAACATTATAGATATAGATTTGACAAACCTTGGTAATCTCGAGTGCCACACGAGTTTTCCCACTTCCAGTAGGAGCACATACAATAATATTCTTCCCCTCAAGGCCTGGCTGGGCCAGCTCTTTCTGATAGTTCCTTAACTTTAACTGTGAAGGCTCAGAACTGGATAGTGTTTCATCTGCTGTTCCTACAATAACATGAATCATTTTAAAATAAATCAAATCAAAACAAAAAGTTTTTTGACCTCACCTCAAAACCCTGCCAATCTGTTTCCACCAGTTCTATTAATTATCATTATTAAAATAATCTTTTTAATGTTTTACTTTCCCAGGAGTGATACACATTTTCCAGCATTGAGAGATTCACAAAAACATCCTACTGCTTACTGCTATACAATGCCTCATTATCTGAGACAGTTAGAGCTGGATCTTGTATCATGGGTTCAACTTCAAAGGAGCTTGTATTATTGTTTGGAACCTCTGTAGCTGGTTCAGATTCCTCCAAACTTCGTAGGTTTTGGGCTTCCTGACTGGTATCCTCATCTACAATTTCTGTGTTAGAAAGTAATGATAGATACTGATATGTTAATAGTTTGTATGTTCTACTTGCATTTCAAAAAACAATTATAACAGGGTATTCCATAACTTTCAACCCCACTTAATTTTGATTTTGATTTTTAACTATTCTATATGTAATAATGTATGACAATCTAATAAATAATATGTATGTGAGTTTTACCTTGAGATGACTCTTGCACAGGGTATGACAAACGATTTTCCCCTGCTCTTCTCACTGAAGCTCTCAAGTCTACTACATTACTGCTGTCCATCTCTTTCAGTGCAGTTTGCTGTTGTCCTGGTAAGTGGTCACTCCCACTGCTTGAACTGCCAGTCAGGTTAAGCTTCTCCACACCCTCACAAACATATCCGGAATATTCTCCATCTTCCTCTGATTCTTTTCCTACAACATGAATAATATTCATCAATATCATAATGATGATCTTTTTTTTTATATTGGGACATAACTAAACCCAGATCACACAATCTGCTTAGCAATTGTACTCAACTGGAGCTGTTCAGAGGCGGTTGGAGACCGTCTTCTCAGTTTTCCAGAAGACAATCAAAATTTTTCAAGTTTATATTTACATTCAAGTTTATATCTAATGTTTTCTGTCAGAAGAAATGGAGGATCCATGAACAAAGTTACTTTCGAAGACTGTCAGAAAATATTTGTGGATCCACCCATGCTGTCAGCAGCATCTGTCTGCCTTCTTCAACAGATACATATACTGTAGGTGTTATGTTGTGTAAATGGAGGAGCTGTCACATGACTGCATGGTTGTACCAATATTATTACTTTATACTCTTTTAAGATGCTTCATGTGGACAATCTGAATTCTACAATTTAAAATACCAATATTCTCTTCACCTAGCTTTGATCTTGCAACTTAAAATGATTCAAAATTGTATAAATTTACATACCATTATTTCCAACACCACCATTTGCACCATCAGCATCCAAGGTCTTCTTTTCACCTGTAGCATTTATCAAAAATGTTATCAAGTTAATGACTCATAAATGAATATAATATATTATATAATCCTCAGTGTGTGTGTGTGTGTGTGTGTGTGTGTGTGTGTGTGTGTGTTATATATATATATATGTAGACAACATTTTGAGTCATATGTTTAGAAATCTACCTTTCAATAATAGCAAACAGCCATTTAGTTTGCCGTAATCACAATTTTCATTAAATCCTAATTTCAGTAAAAAACAAAGTGTACTATTTGTTCGACTATAAAAGCATGCTAAAAAGCAATATACTGATACCTGAAACAAAGTCTGGGTCTATTTCCTTTACAAGATGTTCATAACCAGTTGCTTCTAAAACCTCTAAAAAGTCTCTGTACCAGCCAGGCTTATGACGGTATATTCTGTCTATCAGCATTAAGGTAGCTGCTTGGGGGCCATGATTAGTTTCTTCAGCCATAATTTCTTCCTTGTCAACCTGGCTGATAACCGCTTTAGCAAAAAGATTTGGTAGAACATCCCTGGGTATTATCTTTTCATAGAGAAGAGGAGTGAATACATTGATGATATGCTTGCAGTTTTCATCTGTCTCTGGCGAATGTGTCAAAGTGTCTTGCAGTAGGTTGGCCAAGGGATGAAATTCTACAAATAAAGAAAATAATAAACGGCAGATCAAAGTTAACATTCAAAACATTAAGATTGAAACACACAAAACTGCTATATCCTCACTTTATGCTTAATAACTCCAAAAATGCTGTTATAATCACATTATCCAGGAGATCATGACACAGGGCTTTTCAATTCTAAACTTACTAGTACATATGATTATTAATTCATTGCTGCAGCTATAGTGAGGGAAATCTCAGATATACTGGTGTACGTAAAACAGACCACATTGACCTCTCTTGCAGTTTGGGTTAATTTAATTCCAGATAGATATGTGCCTGTACACATCCAAATATGAGTTACTACAGAACATATTAGATCTTTCAGTGAAAGATAAAGTTGACGAGGGGAAACATCTTAAGGCAATCTGTATGGACTGTATGAATCTGTGAACCAATAAATCTTAAAACCATTCAGTGAAATAGAACCATTAGTTAATACTACATGCAGTGTTTGCCTCTTAAGAAAATGAGTTGCTGGACCAAAATTCAGCCATCTTGAAAAGGGGTCATGTCAATACTCCCCCGCAACAATACTCCCCCTCAGTATATCTGTGATTGTGGAGGAGTATTGGTGTGGGGAAGTATTGGTCAGGGATGTACGGGTGCGGGGGAGTAGAGGTGCTGGAGAGTATCAGTGCAGGGACGTATAGGGATGTAACCCTTGAAAAGTACCTGGCTTGAATGTCTACCAGGTTGGGAAAACTTCTCAGCCCATTCTGAAAGTTGTCTCAGCCCATTCTGAAAGTTGTTGGCAGATGGTCCAGCCTTAATTTCTAACACTGACTACATGTTTATAGCACTACACAGATGTTCCCTCTTTTTCCTCAGTGTGAGGCCTCCAGACAGTAAAGCCTAATACTGAGGCAATGCCCTATCTACCGGGGGTACATGTAGATACGATACAGTGTAGATAGCACATATTCAGTCTGTGTAAGTTTAAAATGTGTAATGTAGTCAAGCTATCATAAAACGTATGCACCCCCCCCCCCCCCCCCC